TCAGGGTTGTGGGGTTTAGGGGTTTAGGGGTTTAGGGGTTTAGGGGTTTAGGGTTTTGGGGTTTAGGGGTTTAGGCTTTAGGACTCGGGGTTTAGGGTGTAGGGTTGGCGTAGGGCTTCGGCAATGTAGGGTTCCGGCGTTTGGGACGAAGAGGTGTGGGGTTTAGGATTTCGGCTTTTGGTGTGGGTTTGTGAACTTCATCAATGGCTACAGCAAGAACTCGGGGAATGTATGGGCAAACTAAGTTCAAGATTCGAGTCCTTCAAGGAACACTTGTTGACCCTAAACCCTAAACCCTAAACCCTAAACCCTAAACCCTAAACCCTCAAACCGATGATGCCCGAAGACTCCAACTGTCTTGCTATGCTTACGTAAGTGAACTCCCGATAGTGTGCCTCACTGCTGTTTTTTCTTGTTCCGGCCCATGCCCATAATTCCAACACGGAACAGATGTTGTCCGAACCCGATTGCCGAATGACGACTGGTTACTTTAGACCCTCTGGGATGGTTGCCGCAGTCGGGCGCCGCAGGCGCCTCTGGGGGGGGGATCGGGGAAAGTCCTACGCGTTTTAACTTCTGCCCGGCATGTGCGGCCAGCGTTATCGATGTAGGCATAAGATATGTTATAATATGTTGTAGTATAATTTACTTAACATGTATAGTGCAATACATTGTATTACAGAGTAACATAGTATATTACAGTATATCAAAGCGTTGATAGTCCACTCATCCCTCGAGGAATGGGTCGACGTGTTATAGATGTTGGATGTCGGGCAGCAGACATCGGCCACAGGGTTGGTAGCACGGGGCCGCGCCGAGTTCTTGCCTCATGGCGACAGCAGCGGAAGACGAGGTTGAAGTCGATGTCGAAGCTGATGAGCAGAAGTTTCTTCTTACCTTGGAGTCGCGAGTCCCTCGGACTCCAATCACCTACAGTTTTATGGGTTCTACCTGTTAATTAAGGGGTAATGGCTGCTAAGCTGTAGGTAAAGAGAGTTGCAGGTCTTCGTGAAGAATCGGGCGTACTTCTTGTTCGTCAATGCGCGCGAGAAGATGGCCGAGGTGTGGCGGAAGTCAGGCCGGAAGCTCCCAAAAAGCCCTACCAGGCCTACCGTAACCCTAAATACCAATTACTACTTTGGAGGTTCCTTAGTATA